ACTGACTTGCTTTTATAAACTCCTCTTAACTCTGGCTTTTCAGCTGCTAAATGTTTGCAAAGTACTCACAGTTGCAAACTACAGTTAAAAGTTAATTGTACCAGTTTTTACATACATATTATAATCTTACTTTGAATCATAGACTGAATAAACGATGGACATGAGTACCAATAACAGACAAACTAGGCAAAACCCTGGCAACTGCTGTCACTAGGTGAGACTAGTTGAAAGAGGGTGATGTATAAAAAACCTCCTGGGCAACAAAAGATTGCTGTGGTTGTCTGCAGTTTGCATGGAAGACGATGACGTGTCTGGAAACACTGATCAGCTACTTGCTGAGTGGCAGTGAAACTTGAACTTTCAGAGTAAAGGTTGTGCCTTAACATTTCTAAAGGTGCAACTTTTACTGTCGCTTGGTGAGTAGTTGGCAAGTGTTTGCAGACAGCTTGGTGTCTTCCATACAAATTAAATGTGACAACGCTGATCTGCAAGTGACCACAAACACCACAGAGAGGCTTTTGGTGCAGTACCATACTGTATGTCTCTTTGGAACCAGTTTCACCTATCAGCTACCAGCAACCACTTGCAAACCGGTCAAGGAGTACACATTTTCTCCCAAGAACAGGTAGCTGACTGGTCTCTAGATCTGCGGGGCTAAAGCACACGGTGTCTCATGATGAAACCGCCATCGCCATCTTGATGTTTTGAAGCCTCACATTTTCTGATACACTTCTATGCAACTTGAAGCCTTTTTACAACCCCATGGGGTTTAAAACAATGTAGATGTAATGTAACAACAATGTAACAACAATGTAACAATGTAAAACAGACCCCTTCATGTTGGTTTTACTTTTTAGGTTAACCAAGCTTGTTAGTGTTAGCTGTCAGCTTAGCGCTCTCACATCAAAATATGCCCACTTATAGATTCAATAAACCAAAGGAGTGTTTATAGTTCTAAAACCAACCAATGATTGGGTTATATCATTGTTTAATGTTTTTACTATTAAATGTATCAGGTTAGGAACAATATTTCTTATATGTAATACTTGCAATAACATATCAGAATCCTGAAGGCATACACTATGAAAAGGGAAAAGGAGAAGACAAACTACAGGTTTTATAAAATCTGAAGGTTTGCAACTATAAAGAAAACTTTTACATTAAATATGAATTTTTCTCTCTTATTATTACCACTGTAAAAAGTATTTATTGGTGCAGATAGAGCCACTAAAACTTTATTTTCAAAGCTTCAGAGCTTCAGGCATTGATAGGACTAAACAGTCACTTAATAATCAAAGTTAACCAGTCAGGAACTTGGCTCATCGGTTTTATAAGGTAAGATCAATAGACCCAGTATGAACCTTCCAGATCCCTCAGGTCATCTGGATC